AAAAATTAAAAACCTGAATTCACAATGTCTAATATTTCTCCGAGTGCCCCACATGTTACCAGTACTGAGGGGAGGGAAGAGTTATTTTATAATAAAAGTCATTCCAGAAGTACATTTTTAATCTGTTTTCATGCTTGTCTCCTCTCTGCTCTGTACAAATGCAGCCATCTCAAATCATCAGATTTTTTCTTAGCAGCCATCTTTCATTTGCCCCAAAATTTGAAAGCATAAAGTTTGGATATTTAAAAAGCTAATTGTTCAATTATCCTTGGATATAGCAAATAATCTCTGAGATAAAATATTTTTTAGAATTGCCTGTTGACCCACTTTTAGCACGTTTAAGTTTGAGGCCACGTTTAAATGGCAATAGCTCATTAAATAATAAAGATTAAAGCTGGACATTTTCACTGTTATTTCATGTTATGTCATTCATTCAGAATGTTCAGTAGTGGACAAGTAGATCCAATAATCTCTGATTTAAGGTGAGTTGAAATATGAAAAAAAAAATGTTAATGCAGAAGTTAACCAGTGATGTTTTCTGAAAAGTATGTAGTGGCGTATTACAATAATGTCATGACTTCTAGTGTGAAATACTTGATCACAAAAATGAAAAAGTTCTTTTTGTTGATAACTTATTTAGCAGCTGTGACAAGTTGTACCACAAAAACAACAATTTTGCTCGATTGTCTGATCTAAATAGGAGCTTAAAATTAGATTTTCACAGATATAATTTTAAATATGTACAGCTTTTGATAAAGATTCAGAAAGCCCTTGATGAGTTGAGATAACACAACCTGTAGTTCAGCTGAAAACAACAAAAATGTTGTTCCATGTATGGAGGTCACAAGGCTGCAAGGTGGATCGGTGGTTAGCGGAGGTCGCCACACAGTCCAAAAACATGTTGAGGTTAATTGGTGATTCTAAATTGTCCGTAGGTGTGAATGTGAGTGTGCTTGGTTGTCTGTCTCTAAGTGTAGCCCTGTGATAGACTGGTGACCTGTCCAGGGTGTCCCCTGCCTTCACCCTGAGTCAGCTGGGACCCCTCGTGACCCTCGTGAGGATTAATGTATAGATAATGGATGGATGGATGCATGTCACAGCTGAGACAGTTGTGGCTTCACAGTTGCGTCGAAAAGTACAGAATTATTTGTTTTTAACAGAATCTGTTTAGTCCACACAGGTAGTTTTTGGCTTTTTTTTTTTTTAAAGGAGACATTTAGAATAAAGGGATTTTGTGGCAAAGTATTGATTTTAAGTGTTGATTCTTGGACCTGAGCCTGGCTGGGCCGGGTCTTGTCTTATTGCAGCAGGTTTTTGTAATCAGGTGGAGAAGTTAAACTGTTAAGTGCAAAAAAAAAAAAAAAAGAAAAACCCATTTATGGCTGCTCTTCATGCTGCTGCCAGCATCGCTGTTCTCTCCACCTGCAGCGACTTTGCTTCAGATCGCATCTGATTATCGTGCAGTCTGCTTCGGATCCGGCGTGTCCGTCCTCAGGTTCGGGTCTACACCAGTGGTTTGTGTTGTTCTTAAAAAGTAATTTCCAAATAGTTTTTCTATTAATTGATTCATCAACTAATTCTTCAGCTCGACTCTGTAGTATTTTTATGAGGAAATCTCATTAGCCGGAGCATGCCGTAAGCAGCAATGTAAATGCATGAGATTTATAATAACATAGGATTAGTTCAGTCTCATTGCACAGTGCAACAATTCAGAGCGATCTCCGGATACTCTGCAGCTATAAAATATGTCTCCTGTGCAGGCGATGAGGAGCTGATCAAGGCTGCGAGAGCATGAAATATGTCCAACATTAAGTGACACATGGGACAAATAACAGCTTGCCCAATACTAATTAAGTGCTGAAATACCCACTTTTTTTTTTTTTTTCTTTTCTGGCAAATGTGTTTTTCTCCCCAACCGATTGGGGCACCTTTTCAAAGCTTCAACTTTGCTGATAGAAAACGCACCAAAACCTCATTTTATTATCCGTTAAAATTTTCTGTCAAATGGAAATGTCCTCCTCCTCCCCTCGCCTCGCTCGTTCGCCTCATCTGCTTTCGATTCTGCCTCTTTTCTCCTCTTTTCCTCCGTCTCCGTTGTCCCTCTCTCCTCCTCCTCCTCCCTCTTTATGTTTATCGGCTTCTCACTTCTTCTCCATTCTTTCGCTGTCTTCTCTCTCTTTCTGTCTGCCAGGCCATGGCCTAGTTAAAACGTCTTCTGCTTTGTGCCTGTTCTCTTTCATTAGCGCCGAAGTTTTCAGACTCTCCCCTCTTTTCTGTTTCCCTTTATCTCTGCGCTCCTTCGCCACTGTCTCTTATTCTTTTTACATCACTCTTCCTCTCTCTCCTGCCATTTACCTTTTATTCCTCCTCTCTTCTCCCCCCTCCTCTTGCATTTATTCGTACCTGTCTTCCCCCGTCTCTCCCTTCTTTCTGTCCCCATCTGCTTTTACCTCCCTCCCTCTGTTCCATTGTGTGGATGATAGCTGTCAGGAGATCTCATCACTGAGTCTCTCTTATTACATGATTACAGGGTAATTATCCTGTGAAGTTGTCTTTGCCCGAATCTATGAAAGACGCTTAATGTCTTTTTAATGGGGTTTGGAGTTTGGAGACTTTTTTTTTTTTTTTTTTTTTTTTTTGTCTTTTGTAGTTGCTGTGGACTCTTCAATTTATTGCATTTACATGCGATTGGCCTGGAACAGCGAGTCCTGATTAAGTGGCACTCTGATTCATCGTAATTTTCGCCTCGCTCCGAGTCGGACTCCCTTTATTTTTAACTCCTGGCCTTCTGGCTTTGTCGTCTGCCAGCGTCTGATTAGACCGGACCTGACGAAAGCTCCTGTGATGTTTAGACGAGCGCCGACACTGAATCCTGGCTCGGACTTTAGAGGGGACGGAGGGCGGGTGACAGCGAAAATGTCACGCTGCTTATCAAGATGAAACCTCCCATCTTTGATGTGCAGCTGTGAAATGACTAGATCTTCTCCAGAGGGGGCTGCATGTTTGCGCAGACAGTCGGTTTCAGGGGTGTACTTTCTTTCCCAGATGTGACTTCTATATGTATATATATATATGCTGCATACAGTTTCCGGAAGAGAGAGATATGAGGATGAGATGAGAGAATGATTAAAGTAAATTTTCAGAAAGGAACCTACAGTTCAGCAGCTTGGACTGATATTCAGACAACATGAAACCATGTTATCCATATCACATGTACTCAATTGAGCTCAGGTTGAATACTTTTTGCAGTCCTTTTCGGTTTTATTGACTTTATTTGTGAATTTACTCAGTGAGGGATCAGTAGAGTTTATCTTGTTTATGTTTGTTTTTATAATCACTCACACTCCGATGACAGATTTTTGTTTGCCCTCCTGTCTGTTGTATCCCTAAAATAAAACACAAAGAGCACAGAGTGATGCAAATGCCCTTTTGTATCTGTCGGGATTATTTTCATTATTATTCCAAATTAATAGAAATTTTTAAGGAGGTGGTTCAGCGTGGGTGTGGCCTAGCAGCACTCCCTAGAAAACATCAAAGTTACAGCGCTCTCATTTGGTTTTACCTACATGCTCGAGCAAACTCTTCCTCGAGAATTAATTACAGCGACTTAAAATCTGGCTGATGCCATGTCAAGAGCTTTGCGATGGCAAGTTGTCAAAATTGTGCCGTGTTATTGAACGCTGTTGCAACACGATCACCCTGAACACGAGCAAAGAGCTGATCGTCACTGATGGCAGCTTTAACCTTCTGAACCCCAGCACTTGCCGGCATATTTGAAAGGCATATTTTCTTTTAAGCAGTTGCTACAACTACATCCTTGATCAGAGCCAGAAACTGTCAAAACAGAACCAATCTGCAGATTTTCAACTTTCTGACTGTCCTTGGACTAATCATGTGTGACGCGTTGTTCCGTCGGGAAACTGAACCAAATCCAAGCTTAAGATTATGATATTTCTTCAATTAATTCTTCAAGTCCTGTGTGCTTCGGCACAAGTGAGAAGCCACGACTGACCAACAGTCACATGACAAAAATTCAGTGACTGTTTGGTTGAATTGCAGGTTGTGTTCACAACAGTGACTTTTGTTTGAAAAATGTTAATTCCAGATCAATTCATAGCTTGTTTTTTTATGGGTTATGGCATTACGTTTGTCACGCTGCACAGAAGTCTGAGTTCTGTTTCCATAGATGTGCACAACTTTATGTCGCAGCGAAAAATGAGCCCTCAGAGAGTAAAAAGGTGACGGGAGCAAAAATGCCCAGAAGCTGCTTGGAGTTCAGAGGTTTGAATATGAATGACATGTGTTTGTTTGTATTCCCTCATGAAGGCCTCTCAGATTTTAAGTTTTATTTTATAGCTGAAGTCTTGTTATCGAAGCATAATCGTATAGTGTATTTTGCTTTCATATTTAATGCAGACATTGGAGTTACGAGACTGTGTAGCTTCACCTTTTATTTAAATCACCCAGGTTGGGTTCAAATTTTTGGTTTTACAGGGTGTTGACATAACTGTGATTAAATTGCAACTGGTTTTTAAGTTCAAGCTTATTTAGTCATAAATGTTTAATGTTGCACAGAAATATTTTTGATTAGAAGCTACAATTTCTTTTTTTTTTTTTGTTTGCTGCATAAAAGCAGCCTCTGCGTCAAAGCCAATCATAATATAGCACAGTGTATTTATTTTCAGTCTGCTTGTATTTTTATTTTATTTATTTTTTTTATCCCTGGTATTATGCTGTAATGCTCCCATCACTCAAAGAAATAGGATTTTTCAACCGAAAGCAGTGTTTACACAAGTTCATTATCTATTTGCCCCCTCTGTCATTGCCCATCATGCATTTTCCTGTTCTTTGTCTAAATTTGAGTGAATGCAGTACATCAAATCACACACGACAACATCAGCATGACCTCTCTCTATGCTTTCTAACATTTTTTCCTCTGCTTGTAGTCAGCTCCCGATATTAACTTGTTGTTTTGTGTCTCTCTGTTTGTCTCTGCGCAGCCTGAGCGCCGCTGCTGTCTGTGATGCCCTCCCATGACGCCCACGTCGGCAGCTGACACTGCCAGTGAGCGGGAGACGCCACTGCACAACCGGTCCTGGGCCGGCGCCGTCAGCCGGTTCTCGCCCTCCCTGTCGCACCCTGGAGACTCCTCCACCTCCACCTGCCTACCAGTATCCACAACCATCAGCTCCGATCCACCCCAGTAAGGTCCCCGTGAAAACCGACACGCTGACGTCCTCAGCCAGCACCACCAGCAGCAGCAGCAACAGCCAAAAACCACAATATTGTCAATCAGCAACACCAGCACCACCACAATCATCACCACCACCAGCAGCAACCATCATGTCCAGTCGTAGAAAGTCCTCCAACCCCTGCATGGTCCGGGTCATCAGTGACCTGCCTGAAGAGCAAGATGACCCGGAGGAGGTGATGGACATGGAAGTATTTGCGAGCAACAACATGGCAGAAAAAGAACAATCAGAACCATCTGAACCTGCAGAAAAGAGTCGAGACCCCCAGCAGGAGAATCTTGAGAATCCAGGCCAGCAGGTGTTTCCAAAACAGGTGGAAAACCAAAATCCTGAGCCGTCAGAACAAGAGGAGCAGTCTGGGAAAGAAGATCAACCCCCTGTCATTGAAGATGAAGAAGCAACAGGGGAGAAGGACAAGGACGAAGCAGAATCTGACCCAGCCTCCCAGAAGAAGCAGCCTAAAGGGTATGAGTGCAAATACTGCCCATTTTCGACGCAGAACCTGAATGACTTTAAAGAGCATGTGGACTCAAGCCACCCCAACGTCATTCTCAATCCTCTGTACCTCTGTGCTGTGTGCAATTTCAACACCAAGAAGTTTGACTCGCTCACAGAGCACAACGAGAGCCAGCACCCAGGTGAGACAAACTTCAAGTTCAAGAGGATAAAAACAAACAATCAGACTATCTTAGAGCAGACAATCGAAGGCAAGGACAATGAATGCGAAGTGACAAATGAGCAGGGTGAAAGGAACAGCAGCTCTGTGTTTCCACCCTGCATTTCTACCACGGTGAAAACCCCGGGGAACATTCAGATGCTCTTTGGAGGGAGTGAACTGAAGAGCCAGCTGGAAGGCTTGATCCAGAAGGATCAGATCACAGCGGTGAACATCAATGGAACCGTCATTATCCCTGAACCCACCATGCTCCAAGGGCTCTCCCATGTCACTCCGATGCTCCAGCGCCCACCCAACTTTAACTCTGTACCAAAAATAGCCGTTCCCTTGAACACCACCAAATATAACCCTTCTTTGGACAACAACCTGACGTTGATCACCTCCTTTAATAAGTTCCCTTACCCGACACATGCTGAGCTGTCATGGCTTACGGCCGCTTCCAAGCACCCAGAGGAACAGATCAAAGTCTGGTTCACCACCCAGCGGTTAAAGCAAGGCATCACCTGGTCGCCAGAGGAGGTGGAGGAAGCCAGGAAGAAAATGTTCAATGGCTCCATCCCTCCTGCCCATCACACATTCACCGTCCTGCCGACAAGCCCCATCTCTCAACCGTCTGCCAAAGCCTCCCAGCAGCCTGTCGTCCACACAACAGTCGAGCATCTAGGCCATGTCCGGACAACTGCGTCCAACGGGCTGGGTGTCACCAACCACAGCTCCCCTGGCTCCAGCCAAACCCTTAAGCGATCCCTTCCAACACACCTAACGACGGTGTTTGGCCCAGAGTCAAAGCGACCCATCATGGCAGTCGCCCCCCACTCCGGCGACCCTAAAGACAAGGTCCTGATGGCTCCGCCTCCACCACCTCCTCCCCACAAAGACCGCCTCCCAATGGCTCCACCTCCTGTTCCCATGGAGATGAAGAGACCTGTAGCACTTCCTCTGGTCACCACAGAGATGAAGAGGCCATCCGCTGCCGTGCCTTTAATGCCACCACCATCGTCATCGTTATCACCATCTTTGTCATCCAAAGGGAAGATTCTCTCTACATTAGGAAACCCCAAAACGAAGCCGGTGGTGTCTCTGCCCTCCATAGTCTTTCCAGAGTCCTTAACGAGGCCAATGATAGCGCCCCCGCCTATCTTTGCCCCTCCATTCAAAAACCATTTACTTTTTCCTCGAACTGGAGTCCTCACTTCCAAAGAAAAGCACCCCAACACTCACACTTCGCCAGCTGCTGATCCTAATTTGCCGAACTCCCCTCCACTTGTTACCTCCCAGGTAAGGAGGCCACCCATCATCCAGTCTATTCGTGCTCCTGCTAAAGCCCCAGCCCAGATTCCAGGCTTCCCCTTGGATGGCAAGAAACTAAAAGAGCAGCAAGGAGTGGAGCTGAAAGCCAGCTTCCCCAGAGGAGACAAGGTAGTCAGTCCTCTGACAGAGGCCAATGGGACATCTCGCATGGACGGTAAATGGTCCCACGATCAGACTTCCCCTTCTCACAATAATGGGATTGTACATTTGGATGGTGGGGAGACACCAGCAGTACTTAAATCAGATTTTCAGCAGAAGTCATCGGTTCTGACCCAGTTTCCTCTGCTGGAGAGGATGAAAGGAAAAACAGCAAAACAGCTGAAGATCCTGGAGGAGAACTTCCTGCGGAACAGCTTCCCTAGTCACAGCGATGTGGACAATCTGGCCACCACGACCCGTCTGTCTCATCAGGAAATCGACAGCTGGTTTGTGGAGCGCCGTGCACTTCGCGACAACCTGGAACAAGCCCTGCTCAACTCAATGGGCACTAAGAGGATGGGCGTTGGTGGCATCGCAGCCATCGCTGAGAAACAACTGCAGCAGCAGACTCTACAGCTGAACGGGGTTCACAAACCCAGTGCCGGTGTGGGCCATCTTAAAAGCCCTCCTCCACCTTTGCATGCCCTATCCATCATTGGTCCTGGTGCCATTGCACCCTCTGCCCCCAACCCAAACTCCTGCTCAGTGCCTCCAGACAGCCAATCCCTGGCGCTCCTCAAGGACGATTTTGCTCAAACGCGGTGGCCTTCCCCTGAGGAGTTCAGCCAGCTGGAGGGTCGGACAGGACTGGCTCGCGCCGACCTCGCCCGCTGGTTCACCGACGGCCGGCTGCAGAGCGGCAGCTTGGAGCTGGCAGAACTTTTTCACAACAATGGAGTAAACGGAGGGCAGGGGCTGCCGGTGTGTTCCCCTGAAAACACTCCATCCGGCATCATCCAGCGCTGTCAGGAAGGAGCAGTGACAAACAACAACAGCAACAGTAAAGTGCTGGAGGTTGAGTTGGGTTGGCTGATGGACCCGCGCACCAACAGCCTCAACAGCCAACAGCACGATGAGCTTCAAGACCGGTTTGCTGGCAGGTACTGCATTCATAGTTTTACATATATTTTGTTTCAATGTTCCAATCACATTTTTATGATGTTTTGACTTTGAATGTTGAGCAGTAGCCTATATAATGCACATTTACAATTTAATGTTGAGGTCTGCTAGAATATGTTTACATGCTTTCATGTTGAAAAATTTTTTAATTTATTTTTCGCTTACTGCACATTGCTGCATCCTAGTCTGCTGTGATTGGTCAGCTGACCCAGTGCAAGCAATGTAATGTTGGTTAACAACCCCAGATCTTTGAGTCTGTGCATGGAGAGACATAGCTCTAACAAGAGCAGCTCCAGTGAGGAAATAATGACATATTGCGAAATCTTTGAGGCCAAAGTAGCTGCTAGTCAGATGTTATATCAATGTGTTACATATTTACATTAATCACACCATTTATTGGAGCCAGAAACTGTAAGAACAAAAAGAATGGTCAGAGTTTCATCTCTCAGACCGATCTTGTCATGTGTGATGTGCAGTTTTGTTGGCTAAAAATTAAGCTTTAAATTGTGATATTTTATCAGAAGCACTTTCTTCAACATGTGTCATTCAAAAATTCAACAAAAACAAATAGTTGACACCAGATTCTCTAAGAAAACAAAAAAACTCTGTGTTTCATATGACAACTGAGAGGGTATAACTGACACCAACAGTCATGTGAAAAGAATTCAGACATTTTCAGGTGAACTGCAGCTTAGAAACATACTGGATCAATAAAACGAATGCAGCATGGCTCAAAAACAATGTACAGAGGAGCAAGTTGTCAGTAAGTTGTTGGAAGACTATTCAGCATAGTGAAATATTTTACTGCAGTTTGTAGAGACTGTAAAACTGTAGATAGTTCAACGTCCATGACATTTGAAACCAGCTTTTTTTTCTAGTATTGGTAACTCCCATGGGTACTTGGAAAATATTCTATGACTTAATTCCAGGTTTTTAAAAGTTGTTGTCAAATAAATAATCAAAGACCTCAAATGATCTAATGATGATTTAGGGCATTATAACTGTGTCATACTGCAAGGAGACATTTCTGTTACTATCCATGGCTGTTGTGTTTCCATAGAGGTGCAGGACTTTATATTGGAGTGAAAAATGAGCCCACAGCGAGTAAAAACATGACAGTAACAAAAAAACGCCCCAAAAATGCTGTGAGTTCAGAGGGTTATTAGTTTTTATCTATACATTTCAAACTGTGGAGTTGCGCATTTGCTCCTTCACTTTCCACTCGCAAAGGCAATTTTTCCCTGGCGGGACTTGTAATGAAGTACTTTTACATTGTTGTATTGGCACAAGTACTTAAAATATCTGAATAATTAACTACAACGGGCAGAGAAACAGCAAATTAAGCCCGAAAAAGCATGCAAATGTAGTATCATGAGTCCTACACTGACAGCTGCTGACAGCCCTCTGTAATTTACCTGTTTCTCAGTATGACCACCTCCTTTTTTATGTAGATGAGATGATGGAAATTAAAATAATTTATCATTAAAAGAAAGCCAGTTTTATTTATGTAGCCCAAATCGTAAAATTGCACCATCCTACATCCTTTCAACCTTTCAGTTCTTGATATTTTGTGCATTAAGTGAGCAGCACCCCTGCATCACTTTCTACCCACTGGCTTCTTTTACAATGACCTGTGCATCCAAATTAAATGTCTGCTTCCTCTCAACAGATTTGTTTTTCTATTCGCCACAATGACGTTATTTTCAGAACATTAACCTAGAAATCTACAGGACTTTATTTAGCCTGCCTTCCCTTCGAGGAGCTTGGGACGTGTTTGGCCAAATAACACAGCCATTACGGTGAAACCAATATCTCCGCGATAATTTGGGCGAGCGTTTTATTCTTCCCGTGAGTCAGCTCTGGGTTAAGACTCAGGCGTTACGGTAAGAACCTGCACCGACAGCACATTGAAATCCATTTGGCTGCTGCTGAATTTATAAAACTCCGTAACGAAGCACGCTTAAACGATGCCGAATGATGAACGCTAAAGACTGTCCACTGGGTTCAGATTAGAGTCAAGGGTTTATATTTTTATATCTGAGTGTAAAATTTCATCTAGCCCTCCAAACTCCAAGCAGTTTGTGGGCGATTTTTGCTCCTGTCACATTTTTATTCACTGTTGCCTCATTTTTCCTGTAATTTAAAGTCCTGCACCTCAATGGAAACAGACTCAAAAATGTCTTGTGTGCAGTGGGACACAGTTACAATGCCATCAATAATAAAAAACAAATTAAAATTTTTACCAAAAAGCGAAAATATATTTTACATTTTTAATTAGTTTCCATGCTTGTCTCCTGTCTGCTCTGTGTGAACACTGCCTGCAGGTCAGCTGAAAACTTTTTGTATCACTTGACTGATGGTTGCAGCTGAGTATTGCTGAATAAGGCAGAATTTTTTGTGTTTTACAGAATCTGGTTACAGCAAACAGTTTTGCCATTTTTTTAAACAAGGCGTAAAATATAGTGATTCTGATGAAATATCACGATTTCAAGCTTAGATTTGCTTAATTTCCTGGAGTGAACATCACATCACAGATGATTAGTTCAAAGGCCGCAAGAAAGCTGCACATCCGATGAGGTCTTTCTGTTTTTACAGTTTCTGGCAAATACATGATGTAATTTTAGCAATTTTTTCACACATGTACATTTCAAACCTGCCGGCAGGTTTTGGTTTTCAGACACCGTCGTCAGTTTTCATCACAGTAATCGAGTCTCATCCATGAGCTCCATCGTGATTGTCGCTGTTGGTTTATCATCTCATGAAGACAATTTCCTCCTTCAGAATAAAAAGATGATTAGGTTCTCCTCGTTGTAATTAAAAAATGTCCCACTCGACTTAATGGCTTAAATATCAGAAAAGAATGACAGTTTGCTTCGATTCTGTAAAAATATCCTGATGAAACAGCAGATTTCCAAAATCAGTTACTCTGTCTGATCACAGGTACACTGTAGGATTAAAGCATCGAACACGGCGTCGACCATTTGGTGTTAGTTTCTGTACGTTTCAGGTCTAACAAGCATGTTTTTTCTTTAAAAACTGTTGCTCTCTGTTGCATCTTCTTCTGTGTTCTAGTTGAGGAGGAGGTGCAAAAAGAAGAACTGATAAAAACATAAAACCCCAGCGTGCCTTTAGAACAAAACCGCTGTATTTTCATGTGGGGGTTATCAGTGATGTCCGCTCGTGATTCAGTGGTTTAATATCAGTTAGTCGGTGAACTTAAAGCCCCCTCTGCACTGCGTGTTTCCTGTGTTAATGTAACTTGGTGTTAAGCCAGTGATGAACTGCTTCAACAGACTGAGGCAGCAGAGCGTGGCGGAGCTGAAGAACGGCGGACAGAACGGGGGAGTCCTGGGAGGAGCTCGGGAGGTGTTCGGGAGCTGGCTGGAGGACGGACACTCGAGGAGAGGACGGGAGCTGCTCCTGGACAGAGAGAGGAAGATGGCGGAGGACGCATCTGGGAGGCTGACTGGATAAACGGTGAGAGTCGTCGGCAGCTGTCCTTGGTCTGGTTTCCACTGATCTTCACCAAAGATCACTGATTGTTTCGTGTTTTATTTGTGCCGCTGCTCATCAGCAGGATGTCGCCACAATAGCTCTCAGACAAATGTGCGATGGAGGCCTTGAGTTCACCGGCAGCTCTCTGAAAAAGCGCACTGACGTCAGAAACAAACACTTTGTCCGTTTTGAAAGGGCAGTGTCTTTTAATTAAACCTGCAACTGAGTTTCATTCACTATCAGTACAAGTGTTAGTGATTACTTAGTTGGATGATTAATCGCTTGTTCTGTACAATGTCAAACATGACAAATGACCTCCTTTTAGGCAACTAAGTGAGGCATGAATTACATTTTTCAGTGGGACATCTTGGAATTTGGTCTTTCTTCTGTAGTGAGAACCATGAACTCCAAAACACACTGTTGATCCTTGACGTCTGACAAACATGTTTCATTATGAAGCCAGTTTGTCTGAGAAATTATACACTTAACACTGTTCACATCCATGTTTACCTGCCGGCAGTTTTCCTCTTCACTGCCTTTGCTGCAGCTGCATTCTTCAGCACATCGTCTGTAGGTCAGTGGAACAGTCTGAGTCCAAGTAGAGGAACAAGGATCTCGAAACAGGGACCAGCACTAACAAGAACATCAATCAAAAATTCACTTTAATTTCTCAAAAAGATTTGATATTGATTGGCAGTATGTTTCTTGCCTGTGCCAAATGAAACTTTCCCGCACGATCTGTCCAAAATCATCTTTAAACATTAAACCCAAAGCAGTTTCTGGGCATTTTTCCACTCCTGTTATTTCTAATTACAATTTAAAGTCCTCTATGGAAAAAGCACAACACTGGCTACACGGGTAGAAATCCTGGATTCAAAATGTACAACATTTTTCCAAGTGTCCACATATGTGACCAATATTGGGAAAAAAAACAAGATAGGGCTTTACATACTATGTATGTTTAACTACTTA